TTTTTATTTTTTTTAGTGCAACCACCAAAGCTAAGTTGAAATGGGACAACAAGAATAATTAAGATTTTATCTTTGTCTTTACCAACTTGATTTTATATTATAGTCTTAAAAAACTTGGATTTATGGTGCTAAGTCAAGTGTGTGTTTTTGTTCATGAGCACGCCTAATTTAATGTTGTTCCGAGGATARTTTGAGTGGCTTGGGAGTCTCAAAAAATATGGTATTGTCTTCAAGTCACATGGAACGCAACTCTACTAATAATCTACTTAATAATATACTTGTGAGAGATGTTTTCAAATAATTCGGTCTATATTTGCCAATATCGCAAATCTATTGGCAATCAATTACAATTCCCATTAAATGTCTAAAAAGAGGGGAACATTTTAAAATATTGGATCTAGATTATAATTAATTGCCCTTTTTCTAATGAGAATGTTATTATTGTTTTCTTTTTAATTTTTGTTTAGTACAACGTATAAGGAGGGTGATTCAAACTCCGACTTTCAAAATAGAGATATGTGTCTTAACTAGTTGARCTGTGGTTAGGTTGGGAGAATGTTATTAATTAATTAAAGGTTAAAATACTATTTTGGTTATTGTACTTTCAGCTTAAGTTCGGTTTGGTCATTGTACTTTTAAAAAGTTCATTCTAGCTCCTATACTTTTAAAATATTCGTTGTACTTTAAGTGACTATTTTAGTCCCTATTTTCAAAATTTTAACACAAATTATACATGTAACAAAAAACATTTAATATAAAGTCATTATTTTGAAATTGTGATAACAAAAATGAGATTAAAAATAAAATTAAGGGACAAAAATGACCAATTTTTAAAAGTATAATGATAAAACGAGCATTGCAATCAAAGTACCGAGACTAAAACGAACTAAAATTGTAAAGTTGAAAGTATAGAGACAAAAATGAATATTTGAAAAGTACATGATCCGAAATGGACAAAAATAAAAAGTACAGGACCGAATAGYATTATAACCTTAATTAAATTGGAAGTATAATCTACATTAATGGGAAAAAAAAAAAGAAGCTTCGCTTAGTTAATTAAGATGCATAAGCTTTCCCTCTATCACGAAGATACGTATCTAACTGGAAAAAAAGAAAAGAAAAAAACTTAAAATTGCTAAATCTAAGATTCGAACGCAGTTGAGGCAGAGACATTACGTCAGTGAGGGGAGGAAGCCAGCCAGCAATCCAAAGGCAATTTTGCCCTAACTTAATAGAAATAATTTAAATAAAGTAATCTAAATATGCGTGCTTAGGAGATAATCATTAATTAAAATTAATATATTATACAATGGTCTCTCCGATGATTAGTAAGCATTTAATTATATCTCCAAAGAGCAAGTTTCTCAACCATAATATTATAAATAATTATGTTGTGCCACGTGTATGTACTATTATTTTCTTTTCTTTTTTTAGTTGCATTATCACATCTTTCGACCTTTTAGTCAAATATATATGTCTTAACTAGTTGACCTATACTTAAGTTGACATGTAGATGTAATATTTGAATTTTTAGAAAATTGGTATTGAATGGTAGAAAAAGAAATTGTAATTTTTTTAGAGAAAAGTTTTTCATACATATTACATCACAAACAAAGGATGATAGTTCARTACACGACTTTTTAAAAGGAGGTATTTGGTGCTTCAACTATGCTAAGATTTTGAAAAACGTTTTAAAGGGGAAACAAAATAAAAGTTTTCATGACTAAAAACTTGGATTACTATTTAAAAATGGAAAATCAAAATCAAAATAGATAACCAASCTGGCAAAATTTGATTAGGGTTTGATCAGCCAAATCTGATCACCATCACTATTTCAAGATCCAGATTCAAGAATTGGGCTTAGTAATATGAATMTAAATGATTAATAATTAGATTAAGGTTAATTAAACCCACCAAAATCCATAAAAAAAGAAGTTGATTAGCATGCATATATTTGTATGGAACCATCAATCAACAATTAATACATGTCATTTAAGAAAAGAGAGAAATAAAAAGAAAAAAAAAACCATAGCTTGTGGAATCAAAGTTGATGGAAAAAGTGAGTAAAATTTGGAGGAATTATTGGATGGAAACAAGGGAGAATATGAAGCCGTTACTCATTCTCCAACATATCATATAAATCTTTCATCATCTTTCATCTACATTACCTAACAAAATTCCCTCTTTGGAAAACAACCCTAACCCTACAATTCATTAAATCATTTGTATTTTTTATTTCCTTCCAATTATTTAATTATTATTTTTTGTGGTTTATAATAATCTTTCATACGTCATCCTTCCCTTTACGTGTTCCTTAGTGTACATTTTGCCATATCACATGCATACATATTCAACTTGTGGTGCTTTGCTGGATCATTCTCCTCAAATTAGGGTTTTTTTACGTACAATTATTAATTACATATATCATTTTCACAACTAATCCCCTCCTTCAATTATTATATTCTAATTAATTATGTTACGGGTTTTTATCTAATTTTCGCATAACAAAAGTAAACTTTCATTTTTTAGAAGAAGAGGTACCATATTTCATTAAAAGTGAAATTACGGTGTTAGAAGAAGAGATACCATATAACAAAAGTGTGAACCTTGATAACTCGACCATAAAGCTTAATTACGGTGTTAGATTTAGTCAGTCTCAATGTACATATCTCTGACATTTTTGAATTCATTGAAAGGGCGCTTGAATTTGTTTGTTTTTTTTTTCCATTATCCAAGTTATATTTACAGATGATCTAATGAAAAATTTTAAAATATTCTATGTTTCTTCTTTCTCTTGAGGAAATTATTTGAATTCTTGTGTAGAGATGATTACAAAAACCATGATTTTCCATTTTGACCCTTGTCCAATCATCATTGTCTACCAATTATTATCCTAACATATTATTAGTTTTTCTTTTAAATTTTTGGTACACTCTGTGATGTGCATACTTTTGTCCACATTTAAAAAATTATTGGCATTCTCTTAATTGATGTGTTAAACTTGAAGGATGGACTTCATCCATATTAATTAATTAATTAATCATCTTTTATATATATATATATATATATATATATATATATAATCATTAGCATAGGCCCCATTTTTACATATTTGGGTGGTCCACAATCTTACACATTTGTACCATAATATGTGTCTTGTGGTTGATTAATAGAATTGAACAGGTGAGAGAGTCTTCTAGCCATGATTTTTATATATATGTATATGATCAAATACATTCCATCTCACAAAATAGTCTTTTTCTTGTCCTAGTTGACTGTCCTTAAATTTTTGTAATTTAGACAGAAATGGTTAAAATGCTTGTCAAGAGTGTGGAATTTATTTGTTTGATTGGGTAAAGTAATTGTCCAAACCTCTAATTATTGAGCATCAATCATATTAGACTTCAATTTGGAAAAATAATACGTTTTTTGTTTTAGGCGGGTTTGATAGCGGTTTTGTTTTTAATTAGTTGTTTTCCATTTTAAAAAAATATTGCTTACTTCTCTTCCTAATGGTTAAGAATGCACATTTGAATTCTTAACTAAATTTTAAAACGAAAAACAAAGTTTTGAAAAATTAAGACTTTGTTTGATAATATTTTCATTTTTTGTTTTGTTTTCTGATTTTGTATTTTTAGAAACATTACTTTCACGTGTGTTTCTTTGTTTTGTTATATAATTTTGATAAACATTTTCAAATGACAAATTTTAGAAAAAAAAATAGTTTTTTTATTTTTAAATTTGACTAAAAATTCAAATACATATTTTCTAGACAACTGAAAAAGCTTGAAAACGTAAAAAACAAGTCTAATTATATAAAAAAAAAGACAAAAAACTAAAAAGAAAAAGGGTTATTATCAAACCACCCATAATTTTTTTAGTTTTCAAAACTTAACTTAGATTTTGAAAATTTTTAAATATGAGATAACAAAACAAAAGAAATACATAAACGAAAGTAGTTATGTTAGGAGCAATATGCATTAGATCTTATATTGACATGTGCACATTTGATTGATGAATTTTGTTTTCTTTCCCTTAATTATTTAGGCTTTATCTCTTTTGCGTTGCTAGATACGTATACACTACTTCGTACGCTACGTATATTAATTAACTAACGTATGTATCTAAATTATCACATCATCTTCTAATTAATTTGTAAAGATATTTAGTTTTAGATTGTAATTACATTATGATTAAACAGACTCATCTCTAAAACTAAATTAGTACTCATTAAAAGCGTATTCTTCATTTAATTTTCTAAACTTAAAAACCTAAAATATGGGTTAAAATGTTGGACTTTTCTTTTTTTACCTATTTCTTGAAATGTTAAGACAACAAACCTTCTGCATTTATAACTGTTCTCGGTATTAGAGAGACATGACCCTAAAACATAGGACACATTTGGCCAAACTGTATTTTCTTTTTCGTTTTTATTATTATTATTTTATTCATGAGTGTTGGAGCTAACTTGCACACAACTCGACTAATCTCATAGAACAACCGTCTACGCATTCTCCAGACATGTCATTGAAAAATTGTTAATTYTTGTTTCAGATATTCTTAATTATGCCTAGTTCAAATGAATCTCCTGTGGCTAATAATTAAAATCCTTTAAATTAGATATTACGTGCTGTTCGAGACAATAATCAATTGTAAATCAATAGGGTTTAATACAAAATTTAACTGCAACCCCCATTTTAATTAATAATTATTGTAATTGGAAAAGGGTTGTTTTGGATGGTTTCCTTCTACAACTTTTTTGACCTTTAGTGCATATTTCGATATGTGTCAATTACTTTTTTTTATTTTTTTTCTCTCTCTCTTTTAACTTTATACTTCATCATCGACGGCCTTTGGCCAAGATTTCTTGCAAAGTTGGGATTTTCCTTGAAAAAAAGTTTACCATTTTATAACTAACTCCCTAATATGCATAAGCATGGCCTGCCAAAGCATAGCAACTTATAGGGAAAAAAGGGCTCTTGCCATGGCCCATAGCCACACCCAACTATATATATGAATACAACCAAATCCCTTATTCCTTATTACAACTAGTTCTTTTCCCAAACTGAGAAATTAGATCATGCCTAATTTCTCTTAAATTTTCCCCTTCCAAATTACCAAAAGTTTTGGATTTGGATTCTGAATTTCCCCAGAAGTTGGTTTGATTTTGTTTTGTGGGAGATCAATTAATAATGGGGCTGAAAGACATTGGAGCCACACTGCCCCCAGGGTTTAGGTTTTATCCCAGTGATGAAGAGTTGGTGTGTCATTATTTGTACAAAAAGATCATGAATGAACAAGTTCTTAAGGGCACTCTTGTGGAGATTGACCTACATACATGTGAGCCATGGCAGCTTCCTGGTATACCTTCTTCAATTCCCCATTCATTTTTCTTATTTCTTCTTCTAATTTTTGGTTAAACACACTGCCACAAGTCTTTCAACGATATCCAAAAACATTCCCCTAAAAGTTATTACGATCCCTTCAAATATCACATGAAAAGATTTTTTAGAAAGAAATAGAGATGATTCCCACACATGTGTTCAACTCAAAAATAAAATAAAGAATATATATATATATATATATATATATATATATATATATATACATATCGTTACTTTTGGGATGGGTTTTTTTTAAATTTTTTTTAAATATAGTAATCTCTTCTCTTTTAATAATGGGATTCCCTAATTAAATAAATGCATATATCTTAATCAATCTTATAAAAAAAACTGAACTTTTTTGTTTGGTTGGTGAGAAGAGAACTATACTTGTGTATTTTGAAAAAAAGGTTTGATAGATCTTTGTGTTAAACGGCAAACAGAAAACATGAGACTTCTGTCATACCGATTGAAGTGTTAATTATAACAGAAATCTGTGTGTTGGTACTATGTAGTTTTGGTGTTGTGTTCTTATGTTTTACACAAATTTTTATGCAAAAAAGAAGCAATTTTGAGATGAAAACCTGTAGTTGTGTTCTTGAGTGATGCCCTAATTAACCTAAGTTCTGCATTAATTTCGTGGTAATTGCTAGACCCAACTTTCATTTTTCCTTAAAAAAAGACCTTTTTTTTTTTGGGTACGAGGATTTGGCTTACCCTCTTAAACTTGTGCATTAAATATCCAAAGAATATCTCTCTCTCTCTCTCTTCCACACATGCATTCATGTGAAAATGTTGTCTTTAGCATCTTTCTGAATTCTGTCAATCAGTTTTTTCTTGGGTTCTAACATAATTATGGGACCATAGTTTTCTAATGGTCCCTCTCTTCACTGTAGATTATAAAATTTATATATATAGAAAAAATATATTAAGAATTCTGTCTGTGATTGAAGAAGTTTTAGACACGTAGAAGAGAGAGAAATGAAAAGAGAGAACTTTAGACCCATAATTCAAGTAATATGAGCTGCTGACTCACAGCACTTTTTTTGAATTCCCACATATATAGATGTTTCAGCTAGCTTGTGCTTGTAGAATAAGCCTCATAATTAATTGTTACGCTACAACTTGCAAATATTCTTCAAGATCCCAATCACTTCATCTCTCTAATCTTCTTTAATTTGGATACTTAATTATATATCATTCTCTTCTTTGACTTCATAATTTTATTTTTGTTTAGTTTTCTTTGTTCTTCCTACAACAAATTTCATTCAGTTAGTGAGAAAGAAGTTTGGGACACACATCAATAATCTTTCTTCCATGCAAAGATATTTCACTTCTTTAGTCATATCATATTTTTCTGGTTTTGGACACATCTCTCTCTCCTCCCAACTATCTTATTTTGCTGTTAATTATGATAATCAAAATAATATAAAAACCATTACCAAATACTTTTAATTAACCCTTTTCAGATGGGATGATTGTGCGGTCTAGTTGATAACTGTTTTTGTTGTTTGTTTTCTATTTTTGAAAATTAAATTTATATAAACACTGCTTCTGTTTCTTTATTTTGTTATTACTAAAAATTTTCAAATTTTGGATAAAAATTCTAATGTATTTTCAATAAAAGAAATGGTGAGGAAACAGCATAATCTTTTAAAAACATAAAACTAAAACCAAAACTGTAAGCAAATGGGACTTTAGCGGCTGCAATTGGATATATGGATGAATAATAAATAATAATATTTAATCATATGGGGTTGCATAACTTAATTAGAATGAGTTGAATTATTATATATGGTTACATTAGTACTTTGATTATTTCAATTAATACTATTTTCTGGAATAAAAAAAAGAGGCAGCAAAGCTGAATAGCAACGAGTGGTACTTCTTCAGCTTCAGAGATCGAAAATATGCCACAGGATTTCGGACGAATCGCGCGACGACATGTGGATACTGGAAAGCGACAGGGAAAGATCGGACGGTGATGGAGCCATCAACGAGAGAGATCGTAGGGATGAGAAAAACATTAGTGTTCTATAGAAACAGAGCCCCCAATGGGATTAAGACTGGATGGATCATGCACGAATTTCGGCTGGAGGCCCCGCATCGGCCCCCCAAGGTTGAATTCAATTTCTCCCCATTTTCTTGTAGTTTCGGTACTTTCAAAACATCTATTTTGCTTAACTTTAATTCTGGTACTTACAGGTTCATTTTGGTACTTACTTTTAAAAAAATGAACATTTTGGTCTCTTCATTTTCAATATTATAGATCGAAAACATGACATTTCACTCACTAAATTTTTTAAAATGTAATATCGAATGATTTCCATTGTGTATGGTTTATAGGAATTAAAATAATCACTTTTTAAAAGTATCAGATATAAAATAGATTTTTTTAAGAATATGGACTAAAATTTAGAACAAAGATTTACGTTTTAAAAATATAGACAACTTTTATTTAATTATGGTCTGGAAAGATTCATATTCATGTGCCCTTAAAGGATAACAACACAAAAGGTGATGTCTTTTTCCCACTTTGGTCATATTCACATACATAGATAGATAGAGAGGTGGGATGATTTTTCTTTTCTTTTGGTTTAATCTTTTCTAAAGTTGAAATAACAGAATAAATTTTTATATTTCTTATTTTAAAACTAGAAGGTACTATTATTGAATGTGATTTGTTTCTTTTATAAAAGATAAATTGAGAATCAAAATAAATATGAATGATATTTAAAGAAATGATACAAGAAAAGTGAAGTTAATTTGGAATTGTCTATTTTTTCCACTTATAATTGGTTTTGAGCAATATTTTCTGCCTTTGTGTTACATCCCATTGACAAACAAACTTTTAATAAGCCAATKTGATCCATTCTCCCTATCTAGAATCCTATTCTCTATTTTAATTTACACATCTATATATAATAAAACTATGACTTTTTAGTGTAACCAATAATGTTTTTTAATATCATGAACAGTCTCACTTTTACATGTTTACTCCTTTATTCTACGTGGTGATTTAACAAGAAAATGAACCAATTTTGTGGGTGCAGGAGGACTGGGTTTTGTGCAGAGTGTTTCAAAAGGGCAAGCAAGAAGAGCACAACACCAAACTCAGCCATCAATATACGTTCGAAAACTCCGAGCGAGCTCCTTCTGTTATCCGAGCTCCATCTCCTCCTCTAACCGATTTGAACCAGACCAACATGCCTTGTGGCTACAATGTCGACATCGCTTCATTATCCTCGACCACTCCCCACCAGAGCCATAGCCACACAGGCAGCTGTTCTTTTCTCCATCTCCTTCAATTTCCTCAAGATCAGAAAGATGACAATCCCAAAGCTGATCAACTTTTCTGCCCCAAAAATGACTCTGATTATGGGGTTTTGTGGGACATGGATTTGGAAGAACAGACCTTTCAAGATGGGGTTGGGTCGAACCTGGATCAAATGGCCTTCGACGTCGATAGCAGCCTGGTTTTCCTCTGAAGTATGTGTCTGGAGGCAGATGATCTTCTCCTATTGCACATCTCAAAAGGTTGTTTGTTGATATCTAGTTTGTAAAGTTTATGATGTTTGGATTTTTAGGAAGAGTATTGGGGCATTGTTGTGTGCTTAGGGACAGACTTAGATTTCATTTTTTCTTTTATATCTTTGTTCTTGTTGTACAGCAAATTAGTCAAAGCTGTAATAAAGAAATTTAGTTAGCTGCATTACTGTGAATGTAATAAAATTGTGGTTTTTGATACCACACTATAGAGTTTGTGAACATTTAGTTGTTGTGATCACAAAGAGGAAATATAACCCACAAATCATTTGGGATGCATTTGAATCATAATAATTAAAGAAAAAGAAGAGTAAGAATGGAGAAGAAATGCAGATAAAAGTCCAAGGTTTTGGTCATAGACTTTAAGAATCATTCCTTCCTTGAATCCTCCTAAACTAAAGCCACTCTGCCTACTAGAACTCTTGTTTTATACTCATTCCAATAGTGCTCGACACTCTTTGATGTTGTGGGAATGAGATCAAGATGACTTGACATACTACGATCACGTACCTAAGTTTTACCCCTTCAAATCGGCAATACGGAACCTCTCAATAGTTTCTATTCCTTTAAGTCCTCTATTGGAAAAGGTATGCCTGAGCCTTTCTCACTTCTCAAACTGTAAACTGTGCTAACAAATAGGAATTTAGACCTTTAACAGAAATCAATCTTGATTGACTTAGAGATTTAGTTAAAGCGAGTAGAGGTCTAAAGCCCATATGACCCGGAGTTGTGCACACTTCATTGGCACTTGGCCTCGGCAGGCTCATTTTTCGGGACCTATTTTTCATTTTTTTGGGGGGAGAGGGGGGATTAAATCTCTAGATCATATGCCCTACCAAGACAGATATAAGAATATAAAATGATTTATCCTCTAGATATCAAATTTTTCTTACACTTCCCTGTAATCACTACACTTTAACCGGGGCGGTACACTTTAACCGGGGTGGCGTTATCGCTGTTCTATAATAATACAAAGAATTGAACAAGAATAGAAACCTCTATTGCAGATAAAGAAATGTGCCATATGCCAATCACAGTCCTGCAGAAACTAGGCCATGTAATGTGACAATGCCGATCAAGAGATTTTGCTGATTGATAACAGGCAGAAATTGCACAGGAGATGGGGGTGCTTCCATCTTTTTCATTGCATCAACCGCCATAGCCTCGGGATCAATTATTCTCGGCTTCCTGTCATATGGTTTACCACAAAATCAATCTCTCAACAACTCAGCAGAATTCCTACTCAGATTCTGATCACATTGGCATTTTCTAATTTGATCAGAATCTATAACAATGAAAAGAAATAAAATCCTCTTGCACTAGTAATTAGAGTTTCAACTCAGATAAAAGAAGTAATAAACAACAAGATCTTCAATAAGCAGGTTTTTCTCTCATGAAGTCAACCAAAATCAGCGAATATTACAGATTCGTACCTGTTGCACATTTCGCCCACAGTGAGCTTGAAAATGCCTTCACCACTAGCTTTAAGTGTGCGCCTCAGATCACCGTCAGTAAATGTCCCAATCAGGTGATATTCCTCATCTATGACGAGTAGGCATCCGCATCCCTTGCTCGTAAGCTCCATCAATTGATCCATTATTAGATCTCCTTCTTTGCAGACAGGAAGCTCATTCGGCTTCTTCATCACATCTTTTACCTACACCCGAACAAAACGACATATACAAACAAATATATCAAGTTCTGTATTATTTGGATGGCTACAGATCATATCTCATTTTGGATCACTTTCCGTAAGAAGATATAGTTCTCAAGTTATAATAAACGAATACAACAAATAAACTCAGTTCCTCTAGCTCTTCACAACCAAGAAATTTGTACTTCTGATGAGAAAGACAGTTTTGTTAAGAAAAATGAAAGAACGAAACAAAGACCAATGTAACCAAAGGAGTCTCCAAGGAGTTACATAACCAACAAATTTGTTGTCTTCCCATTTTTCAATTTTGACAATAAAAAACATCATGGGGAGTGTGTGACAAACAATGAACAGAATGATATATGGTATTTTCTTTCTGTAACTAAGAATTCAATTAAAAGGAAGGAGATTAACAAGTATAAAAACCATAAACTTGGGCCATGTAAAAAACCAATGAAAAAACTAAAACCCAAATAGAGGTTTCCCAAAACAAAAAACTTGATGCACAAATGTAGTGGAAATAGTTAGAATCCAGGAAGATCAAAATAATGCCCCTCAGAATTCACCGGTAAAAAGTCCAACAGGGAAAGGCAGCAAATAAAGAACCCTGTTAGAGTAAGGTTGGAAGAGTCAGAACCTACGAACAAGAAAAATTCATACTTGTCATGTCACCTGCAGCAAGGATGAGCAGACAAAGAGAGAAAGGAAAAAGGGGCAAAAGAAGAATGCAATGATCTTATTACGAATGATCTGCTCGTTGTACAGTCACTCTGTCTATAAAATGAGAAGAGTAGAAAATTTTCAGTTTCAGGCTGTTTATTTTATTAGGCGATCTGCCAGGAAATACCATTCTGTTTCTGACATCCAGGTAGAAGCTACTCTACATCACAGTTAACAACCAAAGCTCATTCCTAGAATTTCAAACGATGATGAAGTTGAAGTTGATCTTTTACCTCAGATAAAACTGCAACTTACTATTCAATTCAATCAAGATACTAGTAATTGGTGATACAAGTGATGTGGGAGCCTAATTACAGAGTTACCAATAGGAGGCATAATTTAAAGGCAAAATCTCAAGTTAATTAGTTAAAATAAATGGATACTCTTTTCAAAAAGGAAGAGAGCAGAATTTTCACCGACTCCATGTAAAAGACAATAAAAACAATTTGCATTGACCGTATCTGTATTCCAAGAGGGGAGGAACATGCCAAGGTTTCCCAAATCCCAATTGGCATTAAGAAAAGTAGCTGAAGACCAAGTCAGTGTCCAATTAATGGTGAACTGACCTTGAAAATGAGACTTTTGCCGATCCTCCCGGCGGGATGATTGGTGGCGTATTCCTCTTTGGTCAAATTCCGCGCGCCCATCAGCGCAATGGCCACAGTATCCCCAAAAACCATCTGGATGGCAGTGGAGGTCACCGGCGCCAGATCAAAGGGGCACAATTCGCGCTCGAGAGGCAAATCGACATTCATATCGCAAACCCCAGCAAGCACATTGCCCACGACGGAGGTGACAGAGATAAGATAGGCACCCTTAGCCCTAGCGCAGGGAACGAGGCGGAGGAGTTCCTCGGTGTTGCCGGACTTGCTGAGGAGTACAAGAACGTCGCCGGAATTCAAAATGCCGATATCCCCATGGAGGGCATCGAGAGGGGAGAGGAAGGCGGAGCGGATGCCGAGGGAGACGAAGGTCTGGGAGATCTTGCGGGCGACGAAGCCGGACTTGCCGACGCCGGAGAAGAAGATGGTGCCGGTGGAATTGAGGAGGGTGAGGGTGAAGTTGAGGGTCTGGGAGAGGTCGAGATTGTGGAAGAAGAAGTTGAGGTGATTTTGTTGGGATTTGAAGAGATCGAGGAGTGTGGATTCGTCGATAGGGCTCAGATTTTCATTTAGGGATGCGGATTGTTCGGACAATTGCGACAATGAAAGGGAGAGATCAGAGGATGGAGAGAGAGAACCCATTAGAGCACTGCAACAGAGAAGAAGAAGAAGAAATCTCAATCTGGGTTTATTTCATTTCATCGTGATCATGAATGAATGAAAATGGCGGGGGCAAAACAGGTAATTTTCCGTTGGTTTACGCGGTAAGAAGAAGACGCCAAGGGCACCCTACCCCCTCACTTTAGGCAACAGCTGGCCTCTGTCGGTGGTGTTTTAAACCTTTAATTTAATTTTCTGTTTAATCTCTATTTGGGCTAAATCGCCGTTTACTTATATTTGATTTGGGCAAAGAATTATTTTTTAGCCCATACCTCTTTGTTGGGCCCATACCTAAAACTTTATAATTGTTTCATTTTTTACCTTCTATTCAATCTTTGCAAATTTATTCACTTATTTTACCCCTCTCTAAAGGTAAAGAAGACTCTCAAAATTCCCTAATTTAATGAAAATAATAATTTCATTAATACTCAAAATCGACAAACTTACAAATTTCAACAAAAAAAAAAAGGAAAAAAAAACCTTCTCTAATGTCATTGTTGTATGAATCTTATTCATCTCATACCAAAATATATTTCACAATATTTTTTTTGATACATATAAGAATACTTCGTAAAAATTGCAATTTCTTTTTAAAATTTAGGAGGAAGATTGCAACACTTACCAAAGTCTATGGTAAAAAGTTATACACCTTGCTAAAGTCAAGATTAAAATTGACTTTTTCTTTCCTTTTATAATGTCCAAAGAAAATATATTATTGGTTGAATGAAAACCTACTAGGGAAGAACTTATCAATAACTTTTGATGATGGTTGAGAAGATTTAATCAAATTAAAAATTTTAAAATCCAAGGAACTTGAAATTAAATACAAATTAATATATTGATGGAGCTTATGTTAGCCAGTTTAATTTTCCTTAAAAATTTCCATAATGTTTGCTCAAATTTTCAATGCTTTTACATGTAGCATTTGGTACTTACATCAATCAAAATACACAATAATTAGAGTCGGACATGTTTGCCTTTTTCTTTTTCTTTCTTTTTATAAGAGACTAGACATATTTGTGTTATTTAGTTTATTTTGCATCTTCATTTCTAGGTTTTGGTAATGTCCTTGATATGCATCTACTTTTCTACCGTATTATTTTTTTCTCTTTGAAATTGTGTGAGACATTCCACACTCTATGGTACAATCGGCTCTCGTAAAGAGTAAAGGTTATTAAACTTTTGAATTGGAGTCTACATGCTTACAACCTTTTGACCAGACATTATGTAAACGTAATCTAAAGTTTTGAAAACTTCTCCATCTTAGCTTGTCCAATGTTAAGCTAATCAAGATAGTTACTTCTACCAAAGAATATTCTTGAATAACTTTTCTAATCATCCGGCTCAGTCTTATCAAACAAGATAAAATATATCCATCCTAAAAGATAAAAAATAAAAACAAAGAAATTATTAATGGTCGTGGATCCACGAAACGAGAAGGCCCGATAGCCCATAAGCAAAAATGTAAATTGGGCCAGGTGAAAGGCCCAAGATGATTAAGCAATCAATGTGGAATTAACGAATGAATCAAACATCAAACCTAGTACCGTACAAAATTATGCATCCTACGGTGGAGAGGAATTATGGGTTTAGATCTAGAATAAAAGAAGGGCATTAAATAACTAAACGAACACTCGTATAACTACAAAAAAAAGAAAAATTTTAAGGAAAAGAATTTGAAAAGAAAAAAGGTGGAGCCGCGTGTGGACAGTGAAGAGTGCAGGCCACGTGCGGACCTGTGAGGGGTGTCGGCTACAGTGACATGGGGGTCATTAACCGCGGACCAATCAGGGACCGCTCCGTACGAGACCGTTGTCGTGTCAACGTCCATACGGGACCCACGTCAAGCCTATGGTATGGACGGCCTCAAAATTTCACCAGCTATATTAATAACTTATTACATATTTCATATATTTTAAAATATATATTTAAAACTAACCCCATTTTTTTGGCCGACCTAAGGTCTCGAGTCGTTAGTAATTTAATATGATAATATGATATCCTATCGGAGGGAGAGATTATCTGTTTAAATTCGTGTATTGTTATTTTTCTGTATTTAATATTGATTATCACTCGTGGAACTTTATTAATTTATTTTCTTTATCTAATCTATTAACTTAACTTTTAGATCAATTCGTACAGTTTATACTATGTATGTGCATGAGTTTAATTACCTTTTATCTTGATTATGAAATTTGCTAATGCAACTATGGGAGTTACTAGACATTTTTGTTGGTGTCGTAAAATGTAATTTACAAGTTATAAACTTATAATGAACTTTGATTTGGTCACAACTATAATAATTTTTCTTCCAAACAAATTAGGACTACCATTAAGAGACTTATCTCTACATATTCATCGATTTTCTTTTACGTTGAACAAACAACATTATTTCGATAAACGTGTCCTATTTAATATGAAGATATGCGAATCACATTACAAATATGTAATTGTCAAACCTTTCACACTTGCATAATTCTTATAATCTACCGATAAGTTTTGGATCAAATACATATATCAAGTGGCGTGATTTTAGGAGAGTTAAGGTTTTAATTATATTTGACTAATTACTTTGTTTAAATAGAGGCGTTAATGAGGTTGATATAATGTTTTGGACATAATATATAGATGGGATGTAATAATATTCCGAAAATCTAGAGGATATGACATGTCATGTCCCTTTTGAGGAAACTGTAGGTTTGATTAGAACAAGAGATTACAGAAGGGCCCCTCCACCTTACATAACTCATCCTCTCCATTATTAAATTATTCCTCTTTCTATTTCTTTTGTAATTTAAGAATAATTGTTTAAACTTTCCACCAATCACCAATGGTTGGATTCATGTTCAATTATTTTATTTTGTAAATCTAATAATTTTTTTTTCCAAAACCACACATATATATTCTCTCTCATGATTTAATGCGTTAATTGGGCTCCATGTATACGTACCATATATTCTCTCTCCTTTTTTGTTGCTAAAGTTTAAAATATTTAATCATTAGATCTTAATAATGGTGGCCAATTTGTACTCTTTTTATATATATTTTAACCTTCTCACATTTAAATTTCAATTATGATATAGAAGGGAGAGATATACGTGTTTTGTTTCACTTTTGAGTTGTAATTAAAAAAGACAGTTGAATGCCAACATGAGTTTAATTTAACMGTAGTTGACAAATATCTTTGACTAAAAGATCACGAGTTCAAATCTCTCATCCCACTTGTTGCACTAAAAAAGAAAAAAAGACGATTAATCTATTAAATAACATAGAAATTATCACTAATCTTTTTACATGGTCTATTATTTCTATAATATATTTGGTAAATATAAGTTGATAATGGTCTTGATTTTCTTAATGTTTTTTATTTAATAATAGTTTGWCMAAATGGGTGGGATAAAATTGGGGTCTCAAATGATATATACATGTATATATATGTGTGGAAAAGGTATTGAGGTTTTAATAGGAAGTGTACGTAGGGGCATGCATTTGGCACAGAAGTGCTTTTAATATATTACGCCAAACTCGCTGCTCTGAGCACTTATGAGAATTGGGGTGTTCGAATGTTAGAGAGCTCAGTGGGATTTGGTATACCTCTTCTTCGGTTGCATAAACTTCATTCCAAAATGGGGCATCTCAAAAATTCATATTCTTTCCTCATTTTCTACCCAAATTAAATATCCCATTTCTTGGCCGACCTCTTCATATATCTACTTTCCATCCTAAAATATATATATCTCTCGTACCAATTGAGATATTGTCTTTATTTATATAACACAAACCTTCTTTTCATGAATGGAAAATCCATGACTAATTGGTTTTTTGTAATCCATCGATTTAAGCTTTTAAGTCGATTAATGATTTAATTACGTGATATATATTAGAGCAGTAGGTTTGAACTGAGCTTGTACAAATTTTCACTGATCTCATATTTGGTAGGGTAATTTTAGTCAAGTTTGTATGGTAATGTCTGTTTTGATTTTGAAATGGTAGGAGGGTTAGAAAGTAAAATAATGGAGTTAAAAAGTAAAGGGGATGAATGGGCAAAGTTGTTGTTGTCTTATTAAGAGAGTGGAGCAATTGAGAAGTGACAGTTGTACTGAAAGATTTATTGTACACTTACTTTTTAAGCATTGGGAAACTGTAGATGACATGAGAGAAGAGAGACAGTATCTATCCTTTATGAAAGGGACACACTCCACTTCTGATTCCTCCATTTATTGCAAATTGCAAACCTTTCTTTTTCTTCCTTTTGCAAAATTCAAATCTTCTTCTTTTCATTTCTCACTTGCAAAACACACAGATTGGAGATAGAAATAATTTGCTTTCAAGTCTAAAATTACAGTTGGGTGTAGTCAAGGGGTAAAGAGGAGTTGTGTGTTAGTAACCTCTTCCTAATAACTAAATATTTAGATCATTTATTATGATTTGTAAAGTTTAATTTGTCAACGCCAATATGAATCGAGATAATTGTGAAATTTACGATTACTCTTATTGACATGACTTCTATTCGGCAAGAAGTTAATATTATAATTTTATTGACATGACTACAGTCAATAGATTATGTATAAGTATTAGACAGCTAAAAAAAATATACTCAAATGATATATGAGAAAGGAAACTATCACATGTTTATCATATTTATTATTTTTATTATTGCAGATCGTTTGTTGAAATTTTATCTAAGTGATCCCTAGTGTCGTCGTAATAGACATAACTCATTATCTCGTTTGTTGTTAAATACTTAATTAACTGTTGTCACAAACAATAACGAGTACCACTTCAAAAAATTGTGTCACTCATTTATAGTTTAGTTGAAGTAATTGATCAGTAGTCTTTTGAGGTGTAGATTTTTAGGACGTGCAATGATCTCTTATTAACATGGATTTAGGTACGTGTGTACTTTTCTATTAAGTCTCCACGCAGGTCTTATTGTCCAAGTTTATTACATTAAACAATTAAACTTATAAATTATTATATGCTTGTTCTACCTCATAATTCAATACCTTACCAGAAAAAGTGTTGTAATATACTCTCATATGACGACCTCACTAATTGGTGCCACATAAATTTATCTCATTCAAGAATTTTACCCACTATAATTACAAATAAGGTGTATTTTATGATATCCAGTCCTAGAGGTTTTTTTAGTACAACATGTGGGGACGGAGATTGAACTCACACCCTATTGGTTGGAGATATCTACTATCGCTAAGTTATGCTCTCTTTTTGGTAAGAGTTAAATAGCACTTTTACTGCAAGTTTATGGCATCGTCTCTTCTACATTTTTCAGGTCCAAAGTGCGATTGCTTGCCAAGTCGATTTATTCATCATAGAAAACCTTAGCATTCCTCTCTCTAACCAAAAGTCTGTATTATAGAGCAATGCTATAAGTGCTATTCTTTGGCATACTTGGTTAGAAAGAAATCACCGAACATTTACACGTTTTTCGAAGACTACAACCAACATTTGGGAGGACATCTCTTTGGTCTACAAAATCTAATCTTTTTTGTACTTATGATACATCTACTATATCTCTTAATTGGAGTGCTTTTATATAGGCCTCCTTTTTTTATATGTTTCTCACATACATCAATGAATTCTCCTTCTCCAAAAAAAAAAAAAATTAAGACTAGTGGTTTTCACCATATAATTTTTTTTATTTCCACCATTTTTTCAATTACATATTGTAATTAACATATTTCATATTTTTTAGATTTTGTTTTTTTGTTTTTGTTTTTGTTTATAACCCTCCCCATCAGATATTTTCCCGAGCCTTAAGAGATTATTTCATTTACTATTTATAAACTAATTCAATTCTTCAAACAAATACTTTTAGGAATTAAAAATTGCTTTTACTCCGTGAATAAAATTTTAAGTTATTTTAGGGTGTGTCAAGGGTGATGATAGAATTAGTGATTTTAGGAAAATATAATTAAGTAGTATTGATTTTCCAAAATCACCGTGATACCTTACAAATCAATTTAAAGTTATTTTAAACTTTACTTAAATCAAATTTCTAATTTGCCAAACTTGATCAATGAAAAAAGAAGTGACTTTGACAATGGAAAGAATCACTCCCAAATACACAATCTTTAGGTAAAAATTAGCTTTTCAAATAGAATTACTTAGCCTTTAATAATACTAAAAATTTCGTTATAAGTAAACCATAATAAATATATATATTTATTTTATTTTATAAATAAATATATAACTGGACTAAATGTTAGAAAAATATTAAAAATGTCCAATACGTTCTAAATGTTTGCATTAATTTTACAAGAAAAAAAATGTTACGCATAATTAAAAATATGAGATAGTACTTCTATTTTTCTGACCTGAACACCAATTCAATTGGTTACGTTATTACTCATTTAGTCGAGGTCGAAATCTCTAACCCTCTATTTGGCATCAAGAAATTTCAAGAAATGATTTTAAATTGTATGATTTGAAATTCGARAAATGATTTTAATTTTTTTTATCTTATTTAAAATGAGAATAATTTGTCAAAAAACATATATACACACATATAAAAGAAAAAGAAATAAAAATTTTATAATATAGRTTTTTAATCTTAATTTATTAATTAACAAATTAAACCACGAGAAAGTTAAATAAATAATTTACTTCAAAATTCTATGAAATTCGGTAAAATCGTACTGTTTTGGTCATGGGAAAGATTTCAAATCACTCTTTTATAATGTTATAGAAACCAATATATTTGATTCGAATTTTACGAAGATTTGAAATAACTCAAAATCGTGAACCAAACAATCTGCCCTAGACCACAAGTAAAAGGGATAGGAACCCCCAACTTCAGTTAAACTCAAGAAAAGCAATGTTTAGTGGAAAAAGAACAAAGTATATATTTGGACTTTCAAATTTAAAAAAAAAAAAATCTGACCTAAATTTTGAAAATGCTTTTAAGAACTATATAACAAACAAACACGTACGTATATAAATATAGTCTTTATGAACCTAACCTTTAAAACTCGAAGTTATTTTTATCTAGACCTCTCCTTTTTGTTTATATGTTTCTCACACTGTACTTAATAAAGTGGATAGTGATTCCTCTCTTCTAAGAAAATTTTAATTTTGAAATATGAACAAGTGAGCACGAAGGGCAACAGAATTATAATCCCAAAATTGATAACGGTCCATTACACAGAGATATTACCGTTGCATTTTTTAAAGTATATATAAAAAGAAATGTAAAGACTAAAAAACATATTTTTTACCTAATTTGAAGGAACACAACACATTAACCTCAAACATGAGGATGGATAAAACTCATTGGACAAGAGCATGAGCCCCAATGAAACAATGCCTTTTTACTTTAGTTTTTCTTCACTAACTGTCTCATCAACACAAAACCTTCTGCAAAAGTTGTCTTCCTCAGTTCATTGGATATTACATTAGCAGGCACCATTCAAATCCCACCGTATTATTATAATCTCTCTAATTAATGCTCTCTCTCTCTCTCTCTCTCTCTCTCTCTCTCTATTATCTTTAGGAGTTTTTCAGAGCACAGAAACTAATGGCAGAGAGAAGAAGAAAAGCCTGTAACAAACAACATATTAAAGTTCAATATATAGGATGAAGTTCGAGAAAACATATGCACATTGACTAAAAATTGGTTCTTTGAGGAGCTTTTTCTCCTCCCATTTGGACATTTTTAGTTCTAAGACATATTGACTGATGCTGATGCAGCCAAGATATGACACAACAGAGAGAAGAAAGAAGATACACAGGTCTTGAAAAGGGAAAATCAGAAGAATTACACAAAGGGCTTGCTCAGGAAATGAAGGCAAAAGCAAAGGGAGCCTAAATAAAAATAAGAACTTCGAGAATATATCTCACCAAGATTGTTGAAAGTTCTACAACCCTTTTCACACAAAGGCAAAAAATTTCCCCTCCAAGACAGCAAAATCAGCATATTTGTGAGTAATAAACTTTACATGTGAACTCCACCAGAAATTAGCAACTTTGTGGACGAAAAATAACACAGCAAAAATGATAGTTATTAAATAAAAAGAAGAGGGAATATTAAGGGAAAGAGAAATGTGGCAAATCCAATGGGGTTTTAGCATACATATGAATATCACTGGAGAGTACAGATTTACAAACGAGGAGCACAAGTGTACAAATAGTAACACTGCTAGTATTTGCATCAAAAGCAGAGATCTACAACTTTACACAGTAGTCTTAGAAACTTTTTCAGAGAGAAAAAAAATAATAATTTATTCATCAAGAACAAAAAAGCTTCAAATTTTCCCAAACCCTAGCCCATAGTAGAGAGAAAAAGAAAAAAAAACCGCAAGTACTTATTCTTAGAAAAGAAGATACAAAATAGAAATTAAAACAAAATCCATCATTTAAGAAAAGGTTTAGAGCAATACCCAATTGGGAAATTTCTTTTCTTTTCCTTTTCTTCCTTTGTTGTGGTCTTGTTTTGAATTATCATCAAGCTGCACCATGAGGCGTTTGTTGAGGCAAGGGCAACTGTGAAGGTGGACGCTTTCTCTTCTTCTCATAGCTAATTCCTCTTGCTTTKGACTGCAAATCACGAACCTCACGAAGATACAGCCTCACGGCTCGAGCACCAAACGGGTTTGCTTCTGGCTTGCCGCCGTTCTCTTCGAAGGCAGCTCGAAGGCGCCCGACTAGAGCGTCGAGGCTCCCCCACGCTTGGCGCAGCGGGCAAGGGCATGGCGCTGGAGGATTCGGTAGCCCATAGAAAGGGCAAATTGGGGCGTGGACTTTCGTCTTACCAAATTGATCCAAGTACCTGCACGAACAGTGGCAGAACCAGAAATTTTCATAAAAACTCACAGAATTGAATACTATTGATTTTAAAGTTAGGGGTAATTGCTCTCTCTTTGCTCTCGCTCTCGAGTACCTGAGGAACTCCAGGACGTGGGCTCCGCTACATCTTGAGAGGGCCAGTGGAGGGCGATGGTTGTTGAGATATTGGCCAAAGGTTTTCCAGTCACGGCGCTTTTGATTCTCGTATCTGCTGCTTGAAGAAGAAGTTGCTGCACCCTGCAGATGGTTGTTGTTGTTCATCATGTTGCTGCCACTACTGCTTGAGAACTCCATCCTCCCTTCTTTTCCTTCAAAATTATATATTGAACAGACAAAATTTCAGGCCTGTTTCCACAAAATCAGGAATCCAATTTTATAGCTACACTAGACATGTGTTTTGGTTTTCAAGAATCTCAAATAAAAAAATAAAAAAAGGAGAAACATATGTTGACAAAAATGGCAAAATTGATGTAACTATAGTTTACTTTTTTTTCTCTTCTGCTCACCAGTAGGGGTTTTATTTTTTATTTGCCATAAAAACTCACCTCAAAGGTTGTTCTAGGGTTGTTCTAGGGTTTGTTGTTGTTGTAGCTGCTGCTCTTTTTTTCCTTTCCCCTTTGCTTATATAAAGGCAGTGATATTGGGATTGTAACCAGCAGAGGGAGTGGGGGAAAGGGTAAAAGATGGAATTTTGATGAGATTGGGAACAAGATCTGAGGAGACTTTGTCTGTGGAGATTGGATGTTTTTGTTTGAAGGGTAGAAGAGATTTTTTTTTGGATTTCTGAAGCTGAAAGGATATTGGTTTGGGGTTTTCTAAAAAAGGTAGAACAAGTAAGTTTTTTGGTGGGTGATGGGATTGTTTTTCTATTCCTTCTCTCATCCAAAACTGTAGTGAGAGAGAGAAATGGTGGTGTATTTGTGGGGAAGGAGAGGAAAAGAATTCAACAGTGAGTTCAGTTTTGGAGACAGCAAGAGCTTACATTTAGCAACCAGGACTTTATTATATTATTAAATTGTTTTACAAGCAAAACTTTTTTTGCTGGACCATTTTGCCCTCATCTGTTTTAAACTCTCTCTTTGGGAAATTTTAGATTATTACTGTCTCACTTTTACTCTTCTGTCACACACATATTACTTTTCTGACAATAATCGTTCAATTTTGTTCAACCATATATACTCCATTCAATACCTATTGGCTATTACAGAGATTAGTCTTTGAAACTTTAATTACTCGCCAGTACTAACGTTTTAAATGTCAATGTTGATGGAAATATGAATTGATATGTGTGGAATCAAATCTCGAATTTTAAAAGAAGAAATATATGTCAATTACTGCTGAATTATCCGTTTATATTGCTAAAAATGATTAATATTAATATTGTATATATTAATGACATTTTGTTGATATTTTTTTATATTTAATCGATGATGTTTTTGTACTATGACGATGAAATGTTGATTTGTCTATCATGTTGATGTCGAACTCATTGATAGATGAAAATGTCGATATGTAAGTTTTCATACTAAATAAATCACGAGCCACGATTGTGAGCTAGCATAATTTAATAATTTTTCAAAAGCTTGACCATTATTGATTGAAAAACTAACCCATAACCATGTCACCTCAAAATATTTGAAGCGTTTTGCAAAAAATAAATTTAAGAATAATTGAGAATAGTTCGTTGTATAGAATTTTTTTAAGGGCAAGATATAAGATATCTTAGAAGGTTTATATTAGAGGCATTTAAGGTGTTGTTTATGCCCATCAGTTTTCAAGATTCTTTAAGTTGAGGACATCTTTTTATTACATTTTTGCTCTTCAATATTTTCTATATTTTTATTTTAGAATTAAAGTAAACTAATGTACTGCTTACTAATAAACAATTCTATATAATTTAAGTAGTATATATTCTAATTACATATAAAATAAATTTTAATTAAACTACATAATATCTCGATTTATAAGTTAGTTTGTAAATTCTCTTAAAATCAATATTAATTATTCATGTTAAAAGATCAATATCCTAAAAGTTCTCTACACCAAGCATATATATAACAGTCATACTTTTATAGAATTTTTGAGTTAACAAAAGCAACAGTCACATATCAAACATTTTAAGTTTCTATTTTTAGTTTTTGATTTTTGATAAATAGATTTGTTTGAAAATCAATTTAATTTTATTTTCTGTTTTCTCATTTTTATAAACAATTTTATGTAAGTTTCAAAAACCAAAAGAATAGTTGTTAAAAATATATTTTTGATTTTTAAAAGCTCATTTTCGTTGAAATGTACACTTTTTCTTTTTTTAACATATTTCTCTCCAACAAATTTCTCTTCAACAAATTTATTTCTCACTTTAAATTTTATCCCATCAGAATTTCTCTTCTAAAAAGTTTATCTTTTTCTCTTTAAATTTTTTGTCGCTACAAATATTACTACTATTTCTCTCTCCAAAATTTTCATCCCTTTATATTTTTACTTATTTTTTTTCTAAAATATCATTGTTATGTTTTGACACTTTAAAAATTTAATATTTTTCTAAATTCTTTTTTTCTCTCTCAAATTTCGCATTTTATAAAATTTTTCTCTTTCAAATTTATTTAAATTTCTGAAGCAAACATATCTCCGACTTTTTTCTCTCTTTTCAATTTCTTTCTTTTTTTTTTCAATTTTCTTTAACTATGACTTTTCTTTCTTGTTTATTTATTTTTTTCTCTAACAAATATATTGCGGACTTTTTTTTTCTCTAAAATTTTGTCTCGCCATAATTTTTATTTCTCTTTCTAATTTTTATTCGTTTATGTTTTGTTCTCAACTTTACTCTCTTTCTCTAAAATCTTTTCTTTTTATTTTAACTTTCATCTCACTAAAATTTTCTTTCCTCTGAATATTTTTTATCTCTCTAAATTTTCTTTTTAAAAAGTTTTATTTTATCTCACTAAGTTTTTATTTTCATGTCTCTATATTAGAGATGATAAAAATCTCTGTACGTCAAAGATAGAGAATGCAATTCTATTTTTAAATAATTTATATATTTTTTATTAACTATTTTTCTAAATTATGAATAAAATATTAAATGTTTTTTTAAACTAATTATCTATACTAGTAAATAATAGTTTTTCAGTAAAATATCTATAATTTATATATATTTATTACTTTTTTTATTTTTTAAATTCTAAAAATAACTAAAATTAATTACTAAATCTATAAATTTCCTTGCAAAAATCATCATCCTCAAACGAGGATTCCTCAACTTGGACCTTAATTTTCGGAATCGGAGAATGAGGTGGAGATGAGGACTAAAAATTTTCGTGAGGACGATGGATGTGAGAACATTTCGACCCTTGCCCCACCTCATTGTCATATTTATTCCTACATAGATTTTTCTCTTTCTAACATATCTCTTGGACTCTCTAAATTTTTTTAAAATTGAAAAATAAAATGGTTATCAAACATATATAGTTTTTAAATAGAAAACTAGAAACCGATAAAATAAAACAGAAGAAAAATAAAAAACTAATTACAAAATTCGTTATTATACGAGCCCTTGAATTGACAATAATAGAGTATTTTATTCATTCAACTTCTTTAATCAATAATTTGACCAAGTCCGTGAACCTCGGCTCGGGTGGAAGCTGACTTGACAGATGAGCTAGAATAATAGCAAATGGAGGAAGTGCAAAAGAGAAAACACTTCGACGCCCAAGTCAGTGAATGACCGAGCTATTTCTGAGAGAGAAGAAAGTTTTGTGTACCTGGGAATGAGATGGGAGGTCTCTATTTATAGGCGGAGCTCCCGACAGGACATCCGACAAGCCTCCAACGCCTCTTTAAAGTTATGGGAATCATGGCGTGTTGTTGTGAAATGTGTCGGAGAACTGATCCTAATAGAGTGTCTTTTGATCGACTTGGCTGGTAGGTCAGGCTGCCGATGTGTGAAAGACTAAGTCAGATTGACCTACTGTTAAGGTAATCGAACTGGGAATTAGCTCGGCTCGACCTAATAAGTAAACTCGGAGGTAATGAGCCTTTGTGTGTTGATCTATACAGATTTATCATTTTTATCATATAAGGAACAACCACGTGATTTGAGAAATCACCTCCAACATAACTATACTTGAATTGGTGAATTCTATAGACACGTAATTTTTTATGTAAATAGTCACTTTGTCTATAATGACAGATGGGAGAAAATTTAAAGTTTGGTTTAGTCTAAAGTGAGGGACGAAAACCTAATGGTTGGTTTGATAACATTCTCATTTCTTGTTTTCAATTTTTTTAAGAAATCTAAGCATTTTGTAACTATCTATATTTCTTGTTTCTCATTTTTTGGGAACATTTTCAAAATTATATAGAAATTTTGGAAACAACAAAACTTTATTAAAAATGAAAAAACAGGAACGTTACCGTATGGAGTCTAAAAGAACTTAGTTCCATATATTCTTGTAGCCTCTTTATTTTATGTGATTGTTTTATAATCCATTTAATTATCATAATGGGTCCTTGTTAAAACCCTTTAAATTTTAGAAGATTAATTAGGTCCTTAGCTGTTATGGAAACACCTCTAAACTTCATTGACCAAAAACTTAACAAAAATTCCCCAATTTTGATAATATAAAAATTGCCTCATTTACACAAATGTCCTCCAATCTTGTAGATAATACTTCTTACTAATTCAGGCATAAATGAGGAAGAGGTTAGCTTTGGACAATAAAAAAATGTTTTGTTTAGTACAACGGAAATGTTTTTTATTTAAGGTACATTTGAGAACATGTCTTCATAAAATATGGTACATAGATAAAACGATTTCTTAAATTAAATCTTTATGTTTTGATTATTCTTAATTGGAACAAGAACAGCTTGAACATAAACTCAATTAGTTAAGATCACTCAATTAAAAGGTTGTACATTCGAATTCTCACTTATTACAAATTGACTCCTTAACTAGGTGGCGTGAGAACCTAGCCCCAGAGTTTGAATCTTTCTATGGTCCATTTTGTTAATATTTATAATTACTCTCCTTATATAAAATCGGGTAAAATTAATATATATAATTTTTATATTTTGTAAATTTACATGGTAAGTAATATTTCCTATAAAGATTTACGTACATAAAGTATCTATAAATAAGAGTTAATAATAAACAATAGTAAAAAAATAATAAATATAAATATTATAATTTTTGTTTTATTTCTTCTTTAAATTTAATCATTTTCTTAATATCCAATATACATGAAATTGAGTAAAAATATTTTAATTTTTACTGACTTGTTTTTTTTTTTTTGTAATTTAATCGTATAAAAGAAAATTATAATTTTTATAAGAAAAATAAATTACTTATTATTTCAAGTTTCATTCTCTTTCTTTGTATATAGAAAATTTAGTCATATTTACTAGTGAACAAACTAGTATCAAAACATCTAAATTGATGTCAATATCAATTCATTCAAAATTATTTTAATTTGTACCGTTGGCATAAAGTTTTGGATCCGCCACGTAATGAAAATTTTGAAACATGAAATTTTGTATAGGTATTAAATCAATAATTTAATTCATTTATGAACTTTTATAAATTATTGAAATTGTTTATCAGTAAATTCTTTCTACCAAAATTTTAACAAAATTTTCAAAACAAAAATTCTGGATCCGACACCTACGCGTAGGCTTAGTGAGAAGGTCGTATGACTTTAACATGGCCCAAAGGGCATCACAAAAAGAAAATGGTTTAGATTCGAAGGCCTATGAGGGAGAGTTGTTGGCATTGGCACTTTCATCATCGATAAAATTGGCTTTTAAAAATTCTCATCGAAGGACCTATAAATGTTAAGGTTTCTCCTATACTCAAACCTCACTATTCAAAAGTCTCCTACTTTTTATTTATTTATTTATTGTTTTTTATTTTTTAAAAAGAACAATCTGGATTTTTTTCAAGAAACATATCCTCG